ACACTATAAAAGTCCCTGGAAGAGACAGCTTCCCGGGGAACTACCCACTGGGGGCCCCCTCCTGTCCCTCTCTTGGACAGGAGCTTTCTTTCTCTCAATAAATATATTCTGCTCATTAAAAAAAAAAAAAAGAAAAGAAAATCAGTGATACCAGCAGATAAAGCTAAGAAGAAAACAATCACAGTAAAGAAATAAGTCTGCAAAATTTCTTAAAAGTCCTGGAAAAAGTAAATTTATAAGTGTAATTTCTAGGTCTCAACAACATTATTTCTTATGGGAAAAAATATGTTCAGTTCTTGAACTTTTCAGTGTTCGAACATGAATTTGGAATGAATTGAGTTTGATAACCAAAGTATCACTACATTAGGAGTTGGGTGTTTGAGAGGGGATCCAGTCATGAGGGTAGAGATTTAAATGAATAGGATTAGTACCCTACCCTTCTTGCCCCTTGCAACATTTGAGTAATCTGTAAGAAAATATTTTCCTCTATAAGCTAACAAGACCCTCAATAGGAGCCAAATCTATCTGCCAGCCCCCAGAGCTATGAGAATACAGACTAAGAAATCAAGTTCTAAATTTAAGTGGGTAAGTGGGAGGAAGAAAGACCCCTTGAACCCTGGTGCTAAGTTGTGTTTTGTATCAGTTTACCAGTTATGTTTCTAAGTGTCACCTGGCTAGTCATTCTCATAGATTGTGTTCCCTCTGAATTTTGAATGAGATGTAGTTGGCAAAGAAAGCACACTGAACACTTAGTTTATATTTCTGTAACTTAAATGCCTTTTGAAACATTGGTAGAGAATAAACAAATCAGTTACCATGCCTACATCAGTCATTTCAGACACCACAGTACCTCAGGAAAAGGGGTACTATGACTTCACCTTTCCTTGTTTGACATACGTATTCAATATCTTGTAAACAAAATATCTTGTCTAACTTGATTAAAATGAGATTTAAATACAAGCTATGTGAACTATTGGGTTTATAAAAGGTGGAACTATATGTTGAGCTAAGGAGAGTGAAGGAAGAGGAACGATACAATTTCAAAGCAAAGTTTTTTCCTGTAAAGAAATCAGCATCTTTTTTTTTTAATTTTTTTTTATTTATTTGTGTGTGTGTGTGTGTGTGTGTGTGTGTGTG